TAAACAGCTGCATCACTGTACACAGCGTTTGAATAATGAAGATATTTAATATAATGTTTCCAAACACCTGTAGCCGTAATAAAAGACGAAAAAATTGCGAAGAATAAAGATGGCGGTCTCAAAGTGCCCTTGTTCGACCTTTACCAATGTCATGTTTAAGTAGATGCTAAGATCTCATTGGTTCCTAAGCATCAACTAATAGTACCTTCAACCTTATTGGCTCTTGCAACAAAGATCCGAACATACAAAGTTACAAAGCCACAAAGATGCATACGCTCACACCACTGACATATGAGCTATTTTTTCAAAATAGCTCAAAAATGACGTGTTTTCTACTCTTTGACAAATTATGCGATTATACCGTGCAGAATTTAGTGGTCGGCAGTTCGAATAGCGACGATGGAACATGTAAAACAGACAAAGAAAGAAGCGCATTAAAATTGAAAATTATCTAAAGAATGTCGGCCAGTTTGATCCAGTTCCCTAGCTCGGATTTTTTATGTAACACGATCGAGTGCCTGTCGCGTCTACAAGCGAGTTTGTAGTTAGATAGCAGTCCATTTGTTACTTGTACTTATTTCTTATTTCAAGCAATCTTTAGAGACAAATGGTTAGTATATGGATATTTTAATGTACCAGTAACAATCTTCTAGTGTTTTCAGATGTTTTGCGGCAAATGACAGCAACGAGGAAACTCTACGGCCTCTATGGGAATACTTCAACTGGAAATACCGCTGGATCATCTGAATAAATTCGGATCCACTGTGAATGGAACAGCGTAGATCACTAATCCGTTAATCTGGATTTGAATTCTTCGGATTTCAAATCTAATGAATCCTTTTTCAAAAAGGATTCAGCAGATCAAAAATCCGGATTTGGATTTGCCGAAAGGAACGCGAAATCCGTTCTTAGATCTAAAATCCGTTTTTGGATTCACCGAAAGGAACACACCCCTAGTTACTACCAGTAAGATATCCTGTTGCTTGTTTACTGTAGGTTGTACAGTATGTGGATTCACTAGTTCCCACGGTCCGTAGAGCCCTCATAGATCCTTTGCCGGAGGTGCGAGTTGCAGCAGCCAAAACTTTTGATCAACTCCACAGCACGATTGGAACCAAAGCCTTGGACGATATCCTGCCAGATCTGCTTCAGAAAATGGTAACTTTTTTCTCGCTTTTGCCACTTTTACCTTGTCTGTTAGTTTAGTGTATAGAAGCTACGAAAGGTCGTTTTGGGTTAGTTTAATGACACACCCTGAAGAGGGACAGAAACATGACGGGATTACCTACCAAATCTTTAAAGGGGTCAGATTTTTGGATTGGTTTCGCTTAGCGTTTTTCTTTTACCAAATTGTACGACTTTAGGATTACTGTATCAAGGTGTCGTAAGTATTTACACCGACCTTATTGCTTTAAGAGAACTACATGCACAACTGTCGTACTGGCGAGGGCGGGGGACTAGGAGGGGGATGCTGGTTAATGCTTTAATAGGCTTGGAGTCGTAATCGGATTCATATTTTTGGTGATGTTTCAGGATGACCCGGCCTTGTCTGAGTATGCGCTGGATGGCCTGAGACAAGTGATGGCTGTGAAGAGCAGAGTTGTGCTTCCTTTCTTGGTGCCTCAGGTAAGTTGCTTTAAATCAGCAGTTTGAATTAAGATAAATTAATATACTTAAAGAGATACACGGTATGAACTATAAGAACATCTTCAGGATATGTTCATACTATAGGAGATAGCTTTTGCGCCGGCACGAAAACCGTAGCGGATAAGGCTTCTGTTCACGCAGACAAAGAACGGTGATCTTAACGCGATGAATTTAACGAGAGCAAAGCTGCGTTACGCCGATCTCCAAAGTGGAGCCTCACTTGTCGGACAGATTCTGTGCCACACTTTGGTGCAGTGTGAACAGGTTTTAGGACCATAGCGGAAGTGAATAATAGAGAGCTTTAGATTCTGAGACGAGTGCGAGGTTTTGTCAATACTGCTTAGTGTGGGTGAGTGAGTGGAGCGAGTAAGCCAGCGTCATTTTGGCGGGAAAATGTGGTAGCCTACTTCAAGTTTTAGCGAGAATGTCGTAGTGTCGAGTAAGAAGTAATGATGTAAGAACATCATTTTGCTTTCGGGAGAGGGCTTAACCTCCTTCAGTATAATTAACAGTACTAACTTTTTGGTGAAAAAAAGAAAAATAGAAGCTTTCCGGGATGTCTCAGTTGATGGTATTATTGTGTTCGAGGTACGAGAACGCAACCCCTAATTTGTGTTGGGTGTCCTGTGCAATTCATAAGGGAGGTTTTTTTGAGATTGCATTTTCGTCGTCGACACACATTTGCCTCGCTTTGAGGCGCTTGCTTACGTTTTGCCTCACTTTGACGCGCCAACTCGTGGTGATTCTTGTATCCTCGGCGTTAATCTTTCAAAGGTTTGCTGTCTTCGAGAAGCGTTCATCTTTTAAAAAGTTTGCTGAATCTTCGTAAAGCTTACATCGATCTGTGTTTGCTGAATCGTCCGAAGCGTTCATCTTTCAGATGTTTGCTGTTAAATTTTACTTTGGATTAAGCCTTCATATTTTTCAGCGTGCTTCGTCGCTGTCTTTGGAAAATGTCTGCGACTCCTGGTGCATGCATCAAACCGGGTTTAGTTCGGCGGCTGTTGTGCCATAAAGTAAATTTACCGAATTGTGTAGCTCGGCGGCCGTTGTGTCACAAAGTCAATTTAACGAGTTATGTGGCTCGGCGGCCGTTGTGTCACAAACTATATCTACCGAGTTGTGTAGCTCGGCAGCCGTCGTGCCACAAAGTAAATCTACCGAGATGTGACGCTCGGCGGCGCCACTTAATCATGACTTGTGATATTTTCGGCACCGGACAAACGAACACTTTAACTCTATGTTATTTATTAGGAAAAACTTATAAACCAGCCCACAGTAGCGCCACTCTCGAGTCACTGAAATCAACACGCTCGACCAAATTATTGGAAAAGTTATTGACGTGAGCCGCACACACTTTCCATTGAAGGCTTTGACAGGGTTAGTGCGAAGTTCGAATTCAGACGTGAAAGCTTTTAAAACAGTAAATTCAATGTAATTCATTTTGTCAACAAGTTGATGATTGGATGCTCTTAAGAATAACAGAGAATTTCAAAATTATCCAAAGCAGTGTTTTTCAAGAAAGAAAAAGAATCCCGGGTAAAGCACTAATCGGCCTTTGAGCAACTGCGCCCTGTAACTCGCACCAGTAAAACAAAATGTTCTGTTTACACGCCCGACGCACTCTGGCCAATGTCTCCTCCGATTACAAGCACTTGACACCGAACCATACGATATCTTTTGAAACCTTTCTTATAATGATACACAGTTCAAATAGAGGTTTCGCTGCACGAAACCCTCACGTTCAAAATATGCCATAATCATATTTATCTATATTGCAACCACCCTTCCCCCTTAACTGCTACCTGTACGCCTAACAAACATATCGAACGCACTCTCCTAAGCTCCGATTACTCCTAGTACTATGGTTATTGATCTGATTGGTCAATTATGTCGTGATGTTATTGGTCGTCTGTCAGTTAAAGGGACAGTGTCCCGATTATGCGCACGCGCGAGCGTCATCTGTTTTTTCTTCAAAAGACAATAGAACTGTCATATTGACTCGACAAGATTTCCTTCCGGACCACACCGCCGACGGGGTTTTGTTGTTCATATTCTCAAGTAACATTTTAGGCTTTCGAAGAAGTCTTTCGTCTTATTTAAAATTTGATTAGCGGCACGAAGACTCATCGCGATTTTATCGCCACCAGGGCCGCCTCGCGACCTGAAAATCTCGTTTCGCTCGCTTTAAAAACCGCTTTTCTAATGTGAAACTCGTGTCAGAGGTCAATTGTTCCAAGTCCAGTGATATTTACCTGATTTGCTCGCGTTCTAGCCTCAAACATTTGAAAGATGTAAATAAAAATGCACTCTCAACGCTATGAATCATCGCAAAGGTTAGTCAAAAATTATATTATGATTTCGTTGTACTAGTTTTTCTAAACATGTAGCGCCTGTTTGTTTGATTTTGTCGGCCGTAGGGAGTAAAAGTTTTGTAACGCGTCGTTGCAAAACAATCTGCCTCACCAAGCTAATTTCACGAGATCTCCTTAGTACAGTCACATCAATGTCCCAATGGTTTCTTTCTTACAGTCTTTATAGTTGCTGTTTCGTTTCTGTGTATTTCTTTCACAATTATCTGAGCTTGTATGGAAGCCGGCAGAAGAAATTAAGTCCTCAATCGGCATCAAAACGCTTCCCATCTTTTGGTTCTCCGGCCAACGGCAATAAAAGTAACGCCAAAAAATCCCGATTTCGCCCAAATCAAAACTTAACGGGAACATTACATCATTGATCAGTAATCCTGAGAAGTTTTAATGTTATACTGAACTCGGCCAAGCGCGATGCAAACGGATTTTTCAAGGTTCTCCTACTCTCCTCGCATCTTTTGATTTCGCGACATCCTGTCCAAAAATCAAAGTTTGGTGCATGCGCAGTCACGGGATACTGTTCCTTTAAGCCGTGATGTTATTGGCTATGAAGACTCGTAATCAGTAATTGGTGCGTTTCGATACTAATGCCGTGTTTAGACTTGAGCGTGCTACCGAGGTATTGGAGTTAACTTACCTAGGTAAATATTTTGCGTGTGTAAACGCCAACTGATACCCTGGTAAACACCGCTCAAGATAATAGAAAGTTAACTAAGGTAAAAGTTCGGTTTGCCCTGCGAAAAGGCATGGTTAAGGTCGGTAACCAAGGTTTGGATGACAGATACATCCGCTTGCGGTCGCATAGAATTTCAAATCCTGTGGTGTCGGGATTGCGTCAGGCTCATTCGATCACGTTTTCGAGACCAGGTTTTCGAGACTAGGTTTTCGACCAGGTTTCCACGTTTGGTTTCGGTCTACGAAGAAGTTATGGCAAAAACCAAAGACACAAAAGACACACCATTCTTCAACAAAATTTCCGCTTAATAGAGTTTCGAACCAGAATTGGTTTCTCGGCCACGACCACGCACGTCTAACGCGCCTTGTCTTGCGAAGGGCAATTTGTAGCAGAATTAATCGCTTTCGCCTCCACCTCTTTAGGTGCTGCAAAAGTAAGAGCTGCTGCAAACTCGATTCCTGGGTTTGCTGATCAAGAACAAGAAAATAAAACGCGAGGACTACAAGAGCCACAGCTTCTCTTTTAAACGCGAGCATTTATGCGGGGATTTAGAATTTGCCGCCAATTCGATTAGATTGTGATTGATGACAGACTTACCTTAGTTATTTGAGCCCGTATAAACACTGTACAAATGTACCAGGGTTTAGTCAGTTAATGTTTACCTTGGTAAACGCTTGAGTGTAAACACAGCATAAGTAAGGTAGTCGGTAAAAGTTGTTTACGTTTGTCAAGTCGTTGTTGACGACCAATAACATAGCGACATAATTGACCAATCAGATCAACAACCAGAATATAATACCATCAACTGACGTGATACAACTCACTTTTTTTACTGATTACGAGTCTTCATAGCCAATAACATCGCGGCTTAACTGACAGACGACTAACAACATCGCGACATAATTGACCAATCAGATCAATAACCAGAGTATAATACCATCAACTGACGTGATACAACTCACTTTGACTCTGAAGATGACTACCGCACAGGTTGTCAAAACGTCACTCACTGTCAACAACAACAGTCCTATTCAGGACTACGTTCACCCGGACGATCAAACGCAACCTACTTTTGAGTTCATTGCATGTTATTATTTTCTTACCTTTTGATAATGATGACATGAAGTCATCGAAACGTCAAATGGTTTTTCTTTTTTCGTTTTTTTCTTAAAATGTATTTTCAAATATATTCTTATCAGAAGCTTATTATTGTTATGAATTATAGCCATTTAAATTCATCTTTTGTCTTTCTTATCCAAGGTAATATATCTAATAACCTATTTTTCTTTTAGCTTATTACACCTCCTGTGAACACACGCGCGCTGGCCATACTGTCTGCAGTCGCTGGTGATGCTCTGACCCGTCATTTGAGTAAGATCCTACCAGCCATGCTGAAGGCAATCCAAGGATGCTTTGGAACTGAACACGAGAAAGAGGTATGTTAACACGTGCGCACGTGGTCGCGCGTGGCCCAAATGTACTTGAATCAATCACAAAAGAACACGTCCAAGTCTCCGCCATGATGTCCAAGATACCTTAGGGACGCTTAACAAAGATCGGAACTGGCCAACCAGCACGCTAACATTTTAAAATAAAATGGGCTATCTTCGAGAGTTCTCGCTAAAGACATCACTGTCGTATAGACTGATCTGCAGGCTGAACAGTCCTGATTGATTAATAGTGGAATTCTGTTTATGACTGGCTTGGTCTAGCCGGCCATTTCTGACCAATGGTAAGCGACTTAAGTGTCACATTTCGCTCGCGCTAAGCGTGGTAACTAAGCAAGGTTTTCTGGTTGAAAGCCAGCAACCTTTGTATTCCCTTGATACAGGTAGCAATGTTTACGTTTAAGGAAAGAATGCGAGGTAAACCGACTAAATCATCCATCGATTTTTATAAGAACGCTTATGGTTCTTTAGTGTGTAACTCTAGCAGCCTTGCTTGAAATTTTCCAAAGCTGGGCACGTTAGCAAAGATATCTTTATCATAACTGAATCCGTTACTCATCAGCTTCTTTGCCGTGAGCTCCCATATGAACTGGCTGCTTCATACCCACGCGCTTCTTGAGATTTTCTGCAGTAGTCGCGGCGCAAGGTATCATGGTCACATTGAACCTTCCCTTGTGCCTTTGCGTTTTTGAAACTTTCCCATGATCCTTGCGCCGCAACTACCGTTGAAAATCCTAAGAAGCGCTTGGGTTTGATGCAGTGGAAAAGGATGAAAGAACTGATTTGTGAAGTGTCATGTTTTGTTGTACACTGTTCACAGTCTCCTATCTTTCCGTAACCTCCACGATCTAACGGAAACAGAGGGGACTGTAAACAGTTTAGTTTTGTTGCTGTTGTACAGGAGCTTGAAGGGGCGTCAAGTCTGGTGCTCTCGGTGCATGATGATGTAGGAATCAGGACCATTATGGACGAGCTGATGGCAGCGTCTAAAAACCCAGCTCCTGGCATGCGAAGGGTGAGGGACTTTCTGTTTTAACGCGACTTTAAAATTTACATCATTTGGTACCCAGACCTCCCACGGCCAGCGTAAGATAGAGTGGGATCTGGATACGAGATTAAAATCTCACGACTATCTAGAAATGACCAAGTGTAATAATATGGCAAAAGTCGCCACTATTACAAAAATAAAACCACGTGAACCTTTAAAACTTTGTAGCACGTAACAGCTAAAATGATTTTATGAAAGCGGAAATCCTGTGGCTTTGGAAATTCGGTACAGTCACACCTGCCGCACCACTTGGAAACTGAATAGCCATCTTTCTCGAGCTTAGAATTCCTTTGGTCAGTGTTCAACAGTGCTTAGGCACTTACCATTCCATTATTCCATTAATCTTTCACGTAAGCAGTATGTCCGCAATTTCATCAGTATACCTAGAACGATCTTCGGCATTCAATTGACCAATGAATTCGAGTCTAAATATATTTCATTTGTTTTCTCCAGGCTGCAATCTCCCTCCTGCATTCGTTCTGCGAGGAGACTAAGGTGGACTATTCCCAGTTCATCCCGGCCCTGTTTCGTGGTATTATTCACCTGATGAATGACACTGATGACCTGGTGGTTGATATGAGTTGGAATGCTTTGAATGCGGTGACCAAGGTAAACAAATACAATCATGGTTCTGTGTTATTTACTTCCCCTTGATAATAATTTATTTTGCTATTCGCCACTTTAAGACACTGAGTAGAGTTTACATTCGCAAAGACTTCTGGGACTGTTACTGGGGACAGGGAAAACAAATTGGCCAATAATTAGAATTAAACCCCAAAAGGAAAACAATTTGGGTGTGGCTCTTTGTCCGCAAAGGAGACTATGCGAAAAAACAAACAAACAGACAAGTAGCACCATATGACAGTACTGCTTAGGGGGTTTCAGTTGATTGCTAACACCATAAGATTTCATCCACAGACTCAAAAGTTAGAACTACATACTAAATAAATAGTACCATGTGAAAGTACTGCTGAAGAGGTTTCATTTGAATGGTCACACCGCAGGATTTCATCCACAGACTCAAAAGTTAGAACTAAATTCTAAATAAACAGCACCATGCGAAAGTACTACCGAAAAGGTTTCATTTGAATGGTCACACCGCAGGATTTCATCCATAGACTCAAAAGTTAGAACTAAATTCTAAATAAACAGCACCATGTGAAAGTACTACCGAAAAGGTTTCATTTGAATGGTCACACCGCAGGATTTCATCCACAGACTCAAAAGTTAGAACTAAATTCTAAATAAACAGCACCATGCGAAAGTACTACCGAAAAGGTTTCATTTGAATGGTCACACCGCAGGATTTCATCCACAGACTCAAAAGTTAGAACTAAATTCTAAATAAACAGCACCATGTGAAAGTACTACCGAAAAGGTTTCATTTGAATGGTCACACCGCAGGATTTCATCCACAGACTCAAAAGTTAGAACTAAATTCTAAATAAACAGCACCATGTGAAAGTACTACCGAAAAGGTTTCATTTGAATGGTCACACCGCAGGATTTCATCCACAGACTCAAAAGTTAGAACCAGGTACTAAATAAATAACATCCCCTTTAAAGAGCTACTGAAGGGCCATCATTTGAGGAGTCGTAATAAAGAATTTGTTTCCCAGACTAAAATGTTAGAACCACGTTTCCTTTGTTCATCGATGTAGCAGAGAACGTCTGATATGGATGCAATTAACAGGTTTTGCTATGTCTCTCTGTTTCTCTCTGTCTTCTTCGTTTGGTTCTTGTGTTTTCATACTGTTCACTTCGGCAAAGATCAATATTTATTTTAGGGACAGCTAAACAGTCACATGGTGCAAAAATTCCTCGCTGGAAAGCAAACAACACAGTGGCATCTTGAAAAGATCTTGATGTAATTATGTTGTTTTTATAGCGCCGCTGCACCTTAATGCTCTCCAGCAAAGTGTTTTTAGCCCACGTGAATGTCATCCCGCAAAGGGCCCAACCTTAACTCTTGTTATTTTGTAGCATTTGGAACCCAGTGAACAGTTGCAATACATCAGTCACCTGCGCCAGGCTGTCAAGTTTGTCGCTGATGACGTCAAAGATGGGGATTTGCCAGGATTCTGTCTTCCCAAAAAGGTCTGTTCCCAAGAGAGATCAATTTACAAATTCTTATTTCAGACTTCACCCGAGTTTGCTCGCAATATTAGTAAGGGATATCAGATGTTCAATTCTGTCCCTAAACAGCGATACATTTGAATCATTAGTATTTTTTTCCTTTGTTCAGATATCCTTTCGCCGCGTGGGGTAATTTCAATTTCTTAGCCTGAGCAAACAGACGACGACGACATTTCGTGACGCCCCCATTGATCTCCCCGCAAAATGACGTCTGAGGAACGAGCGCAGAAATTCCATACTGATGACGTGTCACTAGGTAGAGCTTCCGATTGGTTGAAAATTTGCGTCGGCCAATCAGAAGCACTGCCTCATCGGTATGGGATTTCTGCGCTCGTTTCCCAGAAGGCATTTTGCGGGGCGATGGGGCGAAATATCGGCTGTTTTCTCTGGCTAGCAATTTCTAGAAAGCTAAAAAACTGATCGTAAAACCCTTTGTGAATTGTTGGAAGAACAAATTCGATTGTATAGCGATGCTGTTTATTATGATTTCTGATTTTATTACCAGGGTATTGCACCAATTCTACCAATCTTCCGTGAAGGTATTCTTAATGGCACTCCTGAGTTGAAGGAGCAAGCTGCTAATGGGCTGGGAGAGGTTATAAGTCTGACGAGCGCCGCAGCTCTAAGGCCCTTTGTGGTGAACATCACAGGGCCGCTGATTCGTATCCTTGGAGACAGGTTCTCGTGGAATGTCAAAGTGGCTGTGCTTCAGACTTTAGGGCTGTTGTTAGGCAAGGTATGGACTCTTTCTACAGAATTTGAATTAATGAGGACTGTTGAATCCTACTTCTCTGCAGCGCTTTAGATTATTATAACTTGTATTGTATTAAAATCGAATTGACTCAGCTGATACAAAAGAGGAACGCCTTATGTATAATCATGGCCAAATACAAATGTTTTGTTCAGTGCTACTCTTCTAGCTCATGCGGCTACTAGCAAAACCCATAGCCGCGCGATTAAAGGCTTTTGAAGAGTGTTTGTCGATAGTTCCATTCAATGTCCAGTGTAAGATCTCACTTCTCATTTGGTTTGCTTTTTTTAGTCACTTCTGTGTTTACGGCTCTAGGGCGTGGTCACTATTCTAGCAACTGCCCAAGAGAGTAGGTTTAATATTGCATAGCATTAACGTGTAGGTCTGCAATGGGTCCGCAAGGTAATTAAACAACAGTGTAAACTCGTTATGACTAACGGCATTTTGGGGTAAAAAAACAAATTCTTTGGCTATATTTTGCGATCTTCTTTCTTAATTAGTTGGAGCAAAGTGCATCTTTTGTGACCTGTGTGATATACATGTTTCATTTTTCAGGTGGGCGCCATGTTGAAGCCATTCCTGCCTCAACTGCAAACCACCTTCATCAAGGCACTGAACGATCCTACCCGCGCAGTGCGCATGTGCGCTGCCAAGGCTCTGCAGAAGCTCATTAAGCTTCACACTCGTGTGGATCCACTGTTTACGGAACTACACAATGGGGTCAAGAACACAGAGGACAACACCATTAGGTACAACAGATACTCGTAAACGACCTTTAGTTTTGTCTACAAGTATCGCTTCTAGTACGAGTTCTACATTGGAATCCGGTGGCTAAATGCAAAGTTGAAATCTAGCCAATGCTGGTCAGCGGTTTCAATTTATATGGTGGATGGTTCCAGGGGTGTTTAAATGTGCTTTCCGCTTTGTTGAGGTTGCTTTTCGAGCACAGTGTACATGCAATGGAGACCTCCTCTTTTGAATATATGAACACTGCGATGATCTTCTTTCGTATAATTCTTTCATATAGTTGAGGAGTTGAGGAGACTGCTGCCTCCTCGCTTGCTAGTTGCTACCTTTCATTGCACTTACCCTCCATACCTCAACTGGCTTAGAGTTTGCACACAGTTATGCACTCAGAGCTTAAACTCATTTCTGTTGCTGTCTAGCATAAAGAGACGTAAGGTGCAAGATTGCTGTGACAAGCGATTATCTAGAGCACATAAACTTGGGTTGAAAACTCTCACTTGTACTCAGTCTCCCATGAAGCGTAGTCGTTGTGACTTACGGTTGTTAAGGGCTGGTCTTAATTGATCAGAATTTCGATAGTGATATCCATAGGATATATTGCTGTCCAATAGATCAATGTCACAGTATTGCGTTGTTTAGTGGATAGTGACTTGTCTTGTGGATAGCACTATTCACCCATTGAACAACTGGGGCTTGGTACAGTGGAACCTCGATATAACAAACCTCTATATAACGAAGTCCTCGCTATAACGAACGATTTCCTTCACCCCAGTAATAGTAAAATATATGAAAAAGAACCTCGATATAACGAAACCTCTTCATAGCGAACAAATGTTGCCAGTCCCTTGCCAAATCGTTATATCGAGTTTCCACTGTATTGGTCTTAAAAATGAGTGACATCACCAAACACACAGTCCAATTACAAAGTATCACCGAGCAAAGCCAAGACAACTGAAAAATTACTGTCCGTCCATATTCAACTAGATTCCACAGAGTAAAGCCTGAGTACAAATTTGCCATCGAATTTTTATCACTTTTTGTAAAAAAAATGTTCAAAGCACTTGTATTGTTTTTGTCAAAAGGCGCGCGCAAGAAGTCAAACGAATACCTGCATCGTGAGAAACAACTTGCCGTAATTTGATGTACCATATACATTTATAACATTTACAGTCTCGGATCTGAGTAAACCAGTCGATTACTACCAGTCTTTTGTCCCCCAGAATACGACCAATTGTTATCAAATGGGACACAAACTGCGTTACACGTTAACACTATCTTTATACTGAATGTTCGAAATTGTGTATCGCTAAATAGCCCACGATTTCGTTTTCTCTTTAGAGAGACACTGCTGCAGGCACTGAGAGGTGTGATCGCAGGTGCAGGTCAAAAGATGGGTGATCCAATCAGAAAGACACTAACCACTACACTGCTGGATTTACTGGGACATGGTGATGTAAGTACATTTTAAAGTTCTGTGTTTTGACCAACAAAACAATAATCCTACCAAGCTGGCTTTGGTTGGTGATCCAGCAAAAAAAGGAAGTTATTGACCACTGTATTGATAATATATACTACTAATTGTAAGTTCTATAGTGAACGATACCCTGATGAGATCACCACCACTTTTGTGACTTTCAGAGCTATGTCGGCTGGAGTTGTGTACTCCTGGTAGAGACGAGTCTAAGTTTGAGCCCCTGGTCCTTCTCCCTTGGGCTGAGGGCCAATAACACCCACCCCTCCCGTAGAACTGCATTATCTCAGAAACCAAGGCCGTATGCGTCACGAAGCGCCAAGTAGATAACAAAAACGATAACCGGAACCTCAGTAAAAAGGCTGTAATAACCGTCAAATCACAGGCCTGCTATAGAACTGAAAATTTCGATTTTCCGACAGGTTCGACCTTTTGGGGGAAGATGGGAGGTTGTAGCTTCAGTTACTGAAGGAAACTCGAGAGTTTATTCTTATCTCAAGCTTGTAACGTAACAATTATTGCAAATTACAAAAAGGTGTTATCAATTAGGTAGAGATTGATCTCCTAAGTAGACTAATAGCTAATATCTGTGTCTTCAGGAATGTTCATATACTTTAATGATAGGCTAGTTATTCTCTAAATTCTATGAATGGTTTTGCAGGATAACATTCGTGTGGCAGCTGGAGGCTGCGTTGGATCGTTAGCTCTCATTGTACCTGAACCCGAGCTAGAATCTATCATCAATGACCAGCTTATAGGTATGACATGTTTACAAGTACAGTTAGCACAAACAAACAAAGACAACAGAGTGTCGTCATTACCACAATCACAAAGTCCGAGATAGTGTCTAACGTGACAGACGGACACAGGATATATCGGGCAAGTTTGTAACGTAACGAACGCATACAGAGAAGAACTGGCTAGTCTCTAACATAACGAATTCACACAGAACATAGCGAGCTACAGTTATCACGTAACGAACGCTTACAGTACAGAACGTGCTAGTGTATAACGTAAAAGCAAGCAATGCACAATTGCATAGTATCAACTTGTAAGCTAGTTATTGTTAGTGTCACCTTGTAAGTACCGTTCATTGTATTGCCTCTATGTAATTTACTGTCCGTAAGTACCTGTTTTGTTAAGATTGCAAAAAAAAAACAGACGCACATAGATCATGGAGTGCTAATGTCTAACGTAACACAAGCAAACAGGACAGAGCGTGCTAGTGTATACACTAGCTCGCTCTGTTGTATGTTTAACTGTCACGATACCACTGCAGCATTCTGTCCTATGTGTCCCTGTTACGTTATAAACCAACGAGCGCGCTCCGTACTTTGATTCATGCGCTGGTTTATAACGTAACAGGGACACATAGGACAGAATGCTGCAGTGGTATCGTGACAGTTAAACATACAACAGAGCGAGCTAGTGTATAAATTAACAGTGATCATAGAAGAGATCAACAATGAAACAGATCAGATCGCGCTAATGTATAAATTACATTTCTTCCTACAGTAAACGACCCTACCGTTGATTGGACCGTAAGACATGGTCACGCTATTGCTCTGTCAGCGGTCTTACATGATGCTGTGGAGAGAATAGTGGCCCAGGGCCTTTATGACGTTGTTACTGACGCGGCCGTGGAACACGCTATGACAGACAGGGTGAGTAAGTCTTAAGCAAAGAACTTTGGGCTTGAACGAAGGCGGAGTGCGCCTCGCAAAAAAGAAAAAAAACTTGGATAGTTATGCAAGGTTACACCACTTTTAACGTGTATGGAAAGTATAGGAAGAGTACAAGATGCGTTTTTGAGGTAACTGATCAGGGCCCGCCCTTGATTTGGCCTCCCTCTTGTTGGTAGAAAGTGTCCTATATTCTGATAGTTACAGCATCATTTCAGCCGTATGCACTTGGTTTGTAAATTTTGTTATCTTTAGGCTAGTGAGTATGTTAGGGAGGAAGGGAGGGAATGAACGAGCGAACGAACAACCTAAAGAACGAAAGATTACGCAGAATTTTGCGATTAAACACTGATTCAGATCGCTCTAGGGTTATCCATTGTAAAAGAGTTGTCTATATTAGAGCAACTTTTACCCTTGAGGAATTTCCACTTTTAGAGAGAGGAGACTGCTTTTCAGAGAAGTCTACAGAAGTAATAGTTGTGTCCATGTTAGAGGGGTGTGGCAGTATAGGGGTGTCCCTCTGGGAGGGAGTTTTCTCGGTGGGGAGAGTTGACTGGTGAAACGTCAGAAAGAAGAGAGAGAAAAGTGGATGATAATAATAGATGACCGATTAGGTTTGCTTTCTCAACAAATATTGCATCTATGTGCACTGTATTTGTTTTTCTAGATACCTATCTGCAGTTCCGGCGTGCGATCTCTCGGCTACATTCTCGCGCACTCAGTAGTTCAGTGCGAGTCACCACCACCGCAGGTTTTGGAAACACTCTTCAAGGTAAGACATACAACCAAAAAAAGTAATTCATTGTTCAAGTCATCAGTAGGTTCCTTTCTCCTTTAGTAACGGTAAAAGTAAAAATCATTATTTTACGTCGTTAACTCGTGAGAGGACTTAATCTGACAAACCTGAGTACGACTGTGCGCTTTTTTGATCCCCTTTCTTTATCAGCACTCTGTTTTACGGTTATTTAAAGCTAATACTATATACGGAATGGCAAAAAGTCAAAACAAGGATTTGAGGTCACACCTGAGAATCGAACGTGAAACTTCCGGCAAAGAAGGCTGCGCACTAACCGACTGTGCTAATTCTTGCTCCTTAAGGTAGATTTCCACTGTCGCGTAATTTTTACGTGCGTACGCACATAAATAAAATAAAGACAACGTATGGAAGGTCACGCGCATACGTAAAAGTTGAACCTCGCTCAACTTTTACGTTTAAGCGTGGCCTTTCATACATTGTCTCTATTTCATTTACCCTCGTAAATTTTACATATCAACTCTGTCCTGCTCCTGTCCTGTATTTCAACTGTACTGAGGGTCCCCAATAGGACTTTTCGGGATCCGGGATTTGCCTCATCTGAAGACCGGTATTCAGGATTTCAAAGCAAAAGAGGGACGAGATTCGGGATGGAAAGAATGCACGGGATGCGGGATGATCGAGATCACGGGATTGGTTCGGGATGATAGGATTGAAGAACCCTATTGGGGACCCTCTGTACTCGCAGCCATAATTTTATGATTTGTGTCCATGGCGTTTCACATAACAATTTGTTTCTAGATGCTACAAGATGGCTCAAACGATATTAAAATGCTAGCGTCCGCGTCTATAAAGCACGGGGCGCGCGCGAGCTCTGCACCATTGGACAGCACGCTTCTGAAGATGTTAATTCCAGCGCTTCTCGGATCTTGCAAGGAAAAGAATACCGCAGTAAAGGCTGCTGCTGAGTCCGCGCTCATGTATGTACTGCGGCTACGAGATGGCGAGTCAACACTTCAGGTAAAAGTATCCAGTTTTGTCTTTTTTCTATTTGTATTTGAAAATGTGTTTAAAGAGCCAAATTTGCTAAAACCTTAATCCTAGTCTTTCTCTCTTTCTAATGTTTTATATTAAAAAGGTACAATCACAACTGAAAACACTTGCAGTTACGGTTAAACCTCCCGTAAGCGACCACCCAACGTTCGAAAATGTTGAGGTCGCTTACTGGAGGTGACCGCTTACGAGAATCGAATCATTATAATTATTATTAATTATTACTATCATCATCATCATCATCATCATTATCATTGTCATTATCATTGTCTTTGTCATCATTTTTATTTTATTTTTTTCTCTATAAGGCGGACACCTCCCTAAAACCGACACCTTGAGTTACTCTCTGCTGATCTTCAGTTATTTTCTCTGATTCACGATGAGGCAAACACCTCCCTAAAGCGAACACCTAGAATTGGTCCCTGTCGTTTTTCAGTTATTTTCTTTGACTCTCTATATGACAGACACTCTCTATGGTAGATGCTGATCCCGACATTGTCCAACTTAGAGTTAACTCTAAATAGATATCACAATAAAACTTACAAATGTGTTGGATTTGTTTCAGACATGTTGCCGTATGTTCGATGCCAGCACAGCAGAGAGCATACAAGATCTGTGTCGGCGTTCGTTACGTCGCTTAGCAACACAAGAGAGTGACGATGACGAGTTGGAATCGTATTTCTCGTCCGTAGACCAAGGATGACACAGGCTGATTGGCGTGTAGCCATAGCAACGATTATCACAGGATGATATAGTTTGTTGAATTGCAACTTAATCATCAATGGACTTGTGAGCCCATACTGCTGTGTTCTTCGTCAGATCTAGCTCGCCGAGCGTGGAAGAAAGAGACTTGAGCCACTTTATAAAACAAACATCACTAAGTTTTAGTTTCGAAATGTAATGCCATTGTTTTGAAAAGCAATAAAAAGTTCTATGATTAACAATTGTTTTGGATATTTGGCTTTGTTTTAGCCTTGTACCGTGCTTTTTATTAATTGTATTTTTTCTCAAACAACAGCTTCATTACTCACAGCCAAAAAGTATCGTTTCGGACTTCCCACGCAAAATCAACAAGAGGCCATGTGTATGTACACTGCAAAAGGCCGCCGAAAAACAAGAGTGGAGAAAAGGCAACGAAACGGCTGTTTGTTAACTGCGAAAAGACGACAGTTTGTTTTAAAAGTGGCCTTAAAGAAACTCGGTCACGAGATTCGGTTTTAAAAAAAAGATTGAACTTAACCTTGTTCCCAGGTCTCTCTCCTACTCTCTAGCGGAGCGAGAAAGATGTACGACTAGAAGAGAACCTTGGGAACAAAACTGAATTGCATCGCAAGGAAATCCCGGTATGCGCTTCACTTAAACAGTTTTAGTGAGTAGAAGGTTCCGACTGAAAAGAAAAACAAATGTTTTTCTTCCCTGCTGAGCTTGCGACAGAGGTACGAAATGCAGGTTATTTTTACACTGAATGGATCCTGGGCGCGAGGTACTTTTTTGGGTATCAGTTTTCACACTCCTCACGTGATTCAGTTTTTGTTTTCTTGCCATACAGTGAAACATTTTTTTCCGCCCTCCCGTCCCTTGCCAGTTCAAAAAAAGTGTGTTAGTTTTGACAGCAGTGCATTAGGTTCAGGAAAGTTTTGTCTTTCTTCCTTTGTCCGTTGTAATTTTTTTGGTCAGTGCACGGTTGTGATTAAAGTTCTGTTGTATTGTCGCGTGGCAGACAAATGGCCTTCAGGTGTGTGAGAAACTGTAGCTGTCATTTCCGGGGAATAAACTTTAGACGACGAAATCTCGGCATGTGTCATATGACAAGGTTACATTATCGGGGGGACAATTGTGCACCTCCATTTGGGCTAGATTAGGTTGGGTAACCTGTTCCAACAATTAAAACAAGGAAAGCTTAGCGCGGAAAAAGCCAAAAGCTACGCATTTTAAAAAATCTTTCCGGCTTTTCCCGTCCAAGCAAACATCTCAAATAGATGTTGTTTCGTAGAGTTTGAATGTTGAAAAGTACAAACCAATCGGCGCACGAGTAATGTCTACGAGCGAAAGATTTTGCTGATAATCTCAACATGTTAAAACTAGAATCAATACCTTAAGATTCTTAGAGAGACCAATAACATAGTTTAATATTTTTGCCATTCTTCTTCGACATGATTTTTCTTGGAGACTATCTACGGCAAAAACTGTCAGTTTGTTTAGATAAACAACTAGAAAAGAAAATGAAAATAAAAACTATCAAAACCCCAAAGAAAAATTGGGCGTCCAGCACTATTTGAATTGCTAATATGTATTGTCACTTCTACACTCAGAACGCGTGGTCGCCCAACGAAATGAATATTCTTCAAGTTCAAAATATCTGCTTGAAATCTTTTGCCTTGGAAGATACTCGCTGTTGTTCGTTTCAATCGTGAGAAGCATTTGGAACCTTGGAACAGCTGAAACTCTGAAGTCATTGCTGGCCGAGAATTGGAAAGATCGAAGCTTGAAGTAACTTGAAATGAAGTCTTTGCTGCTGGGAATTTAGTGAATCTACGAAAAGGACTACATCCGCACAAGGTGATTAAGTAGAAATGATGTATTATCTTTATTGAAAACTTAAAACTAAGCGACTGTTTAAGCTCAAAATGTTTAAAGAGGTTAGAATTTGAACTGCTAGCAAACGATTGTGTCGCGATTCCGCGCGTGGAACATGTTTTCGCGCGCGTATTGATGCCTTTTATCATGTAGAGTACTTATTCCATAGACCTGGTAAACGGCTCTGTCATTACTTATGATTTCATTATGCTTGAAAATATTGGAGTGGGGTCTTTTCCCTTTTAATATGCCTTTACATTACCAATTTGAATTGCGAAGTGTCTTTACTCTTCTGGATAGGATTTTCCCGAAACGTTGGGCAAAACCACTACCCAAGAATGCAAAAACTCCACTTCCGGTTTACGTGCGTCGATCGCTCAAAAACCTCTTTGCTTAAGTTCCCTAATAACAGGAGCTGTTACTCAGACCTCAGGTTAGGATGCATGGCCATTTGGGAGGGGGGGAGGTGTGTTAGGATGGGTTATTTCGAACGGGAGGGGTTAGTTCATAAAAACAGACGATCGAGAATGCCAAATCAGCCAGTTAACCTTTAAAGCTCCCTGTTGTAATCAGATCAGGATCATATATTTTCTCAAGGTATCAGTGAATCAATCGACAAATCAAGGAAATAAGAGGGATTTAGGAACTGATCAGCAACAACATACGTTTTTTCCCAGATGTTTTAACCATCTTGTAAAAGGCGTTGTAAAGTTATAGAGACGATTATGAACAAAATGCCCATTTAAACAATCTACCATCTTAACGGTTACAAGTTACTTCGATTGCTGTAACATCAAAAAATTAATGACGAATATTTCTTATTTTCTAATTTCTTATTTAATGCACGACTTTCAAATCTTCAACAATATACCCTACCCCCTTCCAATTACCCACACTTCTTCCATCTCTACTGGTAGACGAAGTTAGGGAGGAAGTATGATATTTGTTGGGCGAATTGCTATACTGGCTGCTATACTACTTTAACAAAATTAACTGCTCATATTTTTAGAGAAAAACATTTCAAGGAATACAAAGGGATGAAATGGAATAGAAGAGAAAAACAAGGAAAGATATCAACAGGTGGGCAGATTTTTAAAATACTTCCTGTGTTGGTGATAGAAAAGAAATTTAAAGAATCAAGTTATTTATTTACGTAATCAAGAGCCATTATGGCTCTTGACTTAATTTATTTATTTACAGCTGGGTGTCTTGAGCCTGCCAGCTGTATAAAAAACAAGCTGGAGCCGATTCCCCCCACCCCATTGCATGCACCCTAACTGCTAAGTTGATTTATGCTGCATTAGAATAATGACACATAGATTAATTTTTAACCTCGGATGTTGTCCTGATTTAAAATATTACCACGACAATGATTAAGCCACCTTACAAAATAAGTCACTATCGCTAACATTTTCAGAGAGTGGAGAGCCTTCGAATGATGATAGATAATACGCTTTTTTATAGGAATTATTCGCGATGTTTGCTTATATTTTAAGATATGGGCATTTCAAGTAGAACTATATCCAATGTACTATGAATATTTCAGATTGCTGGAAGAAGAAAGATTCACAGGATGCAAAGGAATAAAGCTTGGATGAAAGCAAAAATGAAAGGACGTTAACGAAAGGTGAATTGAATTTTAAAATACATCCCATGCTGGCCATAAAAAGAGATTTAAAGTGCAACTGTTGCAACGACAGCAAAAGTAAGTTACTGAAATATACACTGAGTGAAAATGATGTTTGTTATCCCGAATTTCAGAGCAATCGGGAATCCCATTAACGATTGGAATCCGGAATCCAAGTTCCACCGACCAATAATACGGAATCCAGTACATGTACCTTGAATCCGGAATCCAAGACTGTCTAGGATTTTGTCTGTAGTATAAAGCTGAGATTCATTAAGCAAATACAAGAGAACATGATTTTTTTCGAAAAATAATTATGCAATGTTTGTTTAACGGTCTGTTTGATTAGCTTCTAAACTATATTAACGAAACCATAACTATTTCAGATCTCTCAGGATGCAAAAGGACGCGGAGCTGGATGGGAACAAAAACAAGGGGAGACTTCAAATGGTGAGTGGTTTTAATCATGCGTGGTGTGCTAGTTCCTAAAAACAGATGTAAAGAAACAATTTGCAGTCCGTACAACCGTTGAAAAATACCAAAAATCGACACAAGTAATCGAAATATCGATTGACGAAAACTGATCTGGTCTCTAACGACTTCATTGCAATCTGTATAAGGGAACCATTATGAGTATTGAAGAAGATATCACTTGCTTGCTAAATGATTACAGGGGCACCCAACGACTGTTTTCTGTAAAAAGGAGCAAAAATTGCCTAGAATTTTCTATACCTTGAGGAAGGCTAAAAATTTCTAGATGACTGTTCCATTCATGTACAATTTTCGTAACATATCCAATAGATTCTCTACGATTTTCTAAAGTTTAATTTTTCGCATTTCAGTACCCAAGTTTGCCCGTTTTTTGTAGTAAAAGGAAACCTAGAATTTTCGAATCTAAACGTGCAATGGAGGGAGGAATCAGAAAAATTCTTATTTTCGTAAAACTTAAAATTGCGTCTAAAATTTTCGGGAAAATAATACGGAGGCCCTTGTAATTCCGAAAAGACTCAAGTCGCCCCAGGACGAACGAACAGATACAAATTTTATAGCACCGCTTAGAATGCATTTCTAGAGAGCTGAAAGTATTCTGAATAGCCTGAAAGGTGTTTTCGATGCATTTAAGAGGAAACCTTCGTTGGGTGCCCCTGATGATTATTGTGACGTTTTGTTTTGTTGTCACAGGAATCGAAGGAATTCAGCGAGAATGTGGGAGAAAAACACTGAGGGATAACAACAGGCGAGTTGATTTTAATGTACAGTAGCTTATAGTATATGTATGTATTGTGCTGCTGCTGAAAAGAGATCTAAAAAATAACACGGTATAGTTTGTTACCAGATAAATGCTTCCTACTGAATTGTAGATCCATATTGTAAGATACGAATCGAGTCGCACCCAGAAATGAGAATTTGCCACAAGTAAGGTTCCCCTTTAAAAGTTTTGGGCGATTAACTCCGTTTTTTTTGTTTTCGACCAGTGTACTTACCAATCCTTTCAAACTTTTTAGCACTCCAATCAACGAGACTTCCTTGAGTTCTGTAAGGTCTCTCCTAATTGGTCGCAGAAAACAATGACATGTCATTCTTTCAATAGGCCATTTCCGAGTTCACCCAGGCCTCTGTTTCAAAACGAGGTTAGGTGCTCAGCCTGTGATATGGAAATCATTTTTCATTCTCGTGCAAATAAAACTCATTTTCACGAGG